GGCCTCCTCTACGCATGACCGTGCGTAAAGACTGGTCTGGATTATGCATCTTTACCCTCACGCACACCTTCAAGCCGCGCTGGAACTGCTTTAAGGGATGATGCATCACTGGTGCGCGCTTTCTCGGCATGCCTCAGTATCTACGCGCTGAACTTTCATGGTGAAGAGACTACGCAATGCGCTTTTCTCCGCAGAGTGGCTGTATTACCTATTCAGTGCTTTGTACAATTTTGCGAGACGGCATTCACAAAATTTTTATGATTGGAAGCTATCGCATTCGTTGTTTCGTCCATGTTCATGGTGAAGCAGTGGCTTATTAGGCTTTATACTTCAGCACATTTTAAATAGTTTGCAACTAGCTGTATAACTTGCAATTATCGCTGCTAAAATGCACCCGCTGGTAGAATGCGTTGAAGTGCTATGCAGTGAAGGTGAAATCAACTGAAACTGCGCAACAAAAAACGTTGTGGTTGTTCATTTCCAATGTCATTTTCTCCCCAAGAACAAAAGTTACTCTTTCTGTATATAATACCAACAGGAAATGATACACAAAGATGTAAAAGTCCTATTGGTATAAGAACCGCTGCATTGCAAAAACGCGCATTATGAGACAAAATGCCATTTTTCGACTTTGTCATATTGTGGTGACAAGGTACTTGCTTTTTTCAGTGCCAAGAAAATTCTGTCACTTGTTTTACAAAATTACAAAGCCTACAACAGAAATATATTACTCGCATAAAAATGTTTGCTTTTACCAAAATAAATATCGTTTAAAACCGAGAATTTTGCATAGTGTTGTCGAGGCCCAAAATATGAAAGTTCAAACAAAATAGACAAAACTATCGCAATCATAAAATATCGCTTCCTTAAGACGGAGAAAAAATGTATCGTACGACTAGCTTATATATATATATATATTATATATATATATATATATATATATATGTATATTTCTTGAAATTTTCCTGGATACCAGTCGAGTTATAAGTCACCAGAAGAAAGCGAACGAGCAAACGAAAAACGATGCTTTATTGCCAACGTTACGGCCGGGGACCGGCCTTCGTCAGGGCATACGTGCATATTACACTCAGCAGCATAGTGTAATATGCACGTATGCCCTGACGAAGGCCGGTCCCCGGCCGTAACGTTGGCCAAAAGCATCGTTTTTTCGTTTGCTCGTTCGCTTCTATATATATATATATATATATATATATATATATATATATATAATATATATATATATATATATATATATATATATATTTTCTTACCTTGCGCGAAACATCTCAATGGCATAAAAAGAGTACCTCTCAATCAGTGGGCACGAAAGTTTTATTTTTAGGCCACCCGTTTCGCAAACAATGTTAAAGAATGAAGGAAAACACAATAGCGAAATTGAGGAAAAAGGGGTGAAAACATGTTATGAAAGCGACTTTTTTCCTAGTTTAAGCAATCGTAAGTTTTATAGAAAAGGCGCCTTGACATACGGTTGTCGGTCAGTGCGCTAAAATGTATATTTTTCTCCACAGGAATCAACAATATCACTTGTCTAACTAAGAACTCGATGTAAAACTCGGCTCAACGGGTAGTAAAACTGTTGATTCCACATTTCTTTTGTTACTTCGGGAAACATCATTGCCAAAACTCCGGCAACCACATTTACGTTCCGTCCAGCCCCATCAACCTCAGCCTGAATGTTCTCAGTTATCACGGGGATAATGGATCCGTGGTAAGAAAGTTTTGTCTCTCCATCTTCGTTGCTTAGGCCCACGTGGAACTGCACCGTGAAACGAGATAGCCTTGAGCGCAGGCTAAATGTGCCTTGATATCCAGAACAGTGCTTCCAGGGCGTTGTGATCAAGACGACGCCAGTGTTAATGAAGTCCACTTGAACCAGGCGGGTACCGTTCCTGCAGTAGTGCATCACGGGTCCGTACTGGTGCAGCTGTGGGAACCCACTCACGTTGAATCCACTTATCTCAAATCCAACGAAAACTGGGGTAGTACTTTTCGGGACCAATTATCTCGTATTCTGGAAATTTGGCGATAAGTTTATCAATCGCAATCTCGGCGTTGACACTGGAGAAGTCACAGGATGATCCTGCAATAGCATAACATATTGTCACAAGTTGTTTCAGTGAAAATTAGTGTATGTCACATCTCCCTTTTAACTTGCCCTAATCAAACTAAGTTATAGAAGTGTAATGTGTTTACAGGTATTACAAAAGGTCAACAAATTTTATACCTTGGGGGAATACTACTCGAATGATACGCAATAATAAATTTGAGCTGAATATCTTCAAGTAGTTTAGTGCATCATCCTGGTTTTTGAAGGCCGATTTCTGTGAAACTTAGTGTCTGAAAGCGAAAACCTCAGGTGGCCCATCAAATTGAAAAATGACAGGCATCCCGTATCAGCTTCGTCAGCATGACTAATGCAAACAGTATTCAAAATATGTTTGCGTTATTGTAAGACGCTAACCTGGTGGCACAGGTCACCAATCTTTTTGTCATCATTATGATATCGCTATGACGGCGCACAAGGATGTCGTCATCCTTGTTTGTTCACAAGTTGGCCACTTACGGGTACCGTGCAATACCAGACGAGGTGCAATGGATCATGCAGGCAGAGATAAACCACAATAAATGCTGAAAACTTTAAGAGAGTTGCGAGGCAGATATTGCTTAATTGCATAAAGAATCCGGACAGTTTGTTTCCGTAGAATTTATCCAACAATTCTTTTTGTTTCAAAATATACATACATGAGCAGACCTTACCTGAAGAGACACTTGCCATTGTGGACGACAGAGCGGTGCAGATGAGTGCGAAGAACAGATAATGAAAATTCATGGTGTGTTTCAAACTGCAAACAAACATACATAAACAACGCATGTTTGAAATGGCAATCCGCTGTGCGTCATAACGATGTCATAGGCTTCTTATTTCAAAACAGAAATTACACGACACAGACGCATCAACACGCCATGCGTACACGAGGTTACATTCGCAAGGCTTCCAAACTCGTTTCGGCGTTGTCTGTGTTGAATATACTGCCTATTTTTTTTTTAGTTTGGCCTCCTCTACGCATGACCGTGCGGAAAGACTGGTCTGGATTATGCATCTTTACCCTCACGCACACTTTCAAGCCGCGCTGGAACTGCTTTAAGGGATGATGCATCACTGGTGCGCGCTTTCTCGGCATGCCTCAGTATCTACGCGCTGAACTTTCATGGTGAAGAGACTACGCAATCCGCTTTTCTCCGCAAAGTGGTTGTATTACCTATTCAGTGCTTTGTACAATTTTGCGAGACGGCATTCACAAATTTTTATGATTGGAAGCTATCGCATTCGTTGTTTCGTCCATGTTCATGGTGAAGCAGAGGCTTATCAGGCTTTATACTTCAGCACTTTTTAAATAGTTTGCAACTAGCTGTATAACTTGCAATTATCGCTGCTAAAATGCACCCGCTGGTAGAATGCGTTGAAGTGCTATGCAGTGAAGGTGAAATCAACTGAAACTGCGCAACAAAAAACGTTCTGGTTGTTCATTTCCAAAGTCATTTTCTCACGAAGAACAAAAGTTACTCTTTCTGTATATAATACCAACAGGAAATGATACACAAAGATGTAAAAGCCTATCGGTATATGAACCGCTGCATTGCAAAAACGCGCATCATGGGACGAAATGCCATTTTTCAACTTTGTCACATTGTGGTGACAAGGTACTTGCTTTTTTCACTGCCTAGAAAATTCTGTCAATTGTTTTACAAAATTACAAGGCCTACAATAGAAATATATTACTCACATAAAAATGTTTGCCTTTACCAAAATAAATATCGTTTAAAACCAAGAATTTAGCATAGTGTTGTCGAGGCCCAATTTATGAAAGGTCACACCAAATAGAGCAAACCATCGCAATCATAAAACATCGCTTTCTTATGACGGAGAAAAAATGTATCGTACGACTAGGTTAACCCAAACCAGTAAAAGCATATACAGTGTTCATGGATGCACAGTTTCGCACCCATACGCACAGTTTGATCCGCCCTCTAGATGCCCAAATATTTTTTCATAGAAATAAAACGCCTCAATTAGGTAACTTACCACATTCTCATATACTGCGCAGTATATATATATATATATACTCAAGTAGATCCTCCGTGAGCGGTCACAACGTGGTTTATATCGACGTTTCACCCTACAGTCTGGCCTTCATCAAAAAATATATATATATTCCTTACCTTGTGCGAAACATCTCAATGACATAAAACAGAGTACCTCTCAATCAGTGGGAACGAAAATTTTATTTTTAGGTCACCCGCATCGCAAACAATGTTAAAGAATGAAGGAAAACACATTAGCGAGATTGAGGGAAAAGGGGTGAAAACATGTTATGAAAGAGACTTTTTTCCTAGTTTAAGCAATCGTAAGTTTTATAGAAAAGGCGCCTTGACATACGGTTGTCTGTCAGTGCGCTAAAATGTATATTTTTTTCCACAGGAATCAACAGTATCACTTGTCTAACTAAGAACTCGATATAAAACTCGGCTCAACGGGTAGTAAAACTGTTGATTCCACATTTTTTTGTGTACTTCGGGAAACATCATTGCCAAAACTCCGGCAACCACGTTTACGTTCCGTCCAGCCCCATCAACTTCAGCCTGATGTTCTCAGTTATCACGGGGTTATGGCTCCGGGGTAAGAAGTTTCATCTCTCCATGCTGCGTTGCTTAGGCCCCGTGGAACTGCACATGAAACGAGGATAGCCTGCGAGCGCAGGCTAAAATGTGCCTTGATATACCGAAACAGTGCTTCCGGGCGTTGTGATCTAGACGACGCCATGTTTAATGGAGTCCACTTGAACCAGGCGGGTAGACCGTTCCGGCCAGTAGGACATCCGGGTCCGTACTGGTGCAGCTTGTGGAACCCGCTCACGTTGAATCCACTTACCTCAAATCCAGAGAAACTGGTAGTACTTTTCGGGTCCAATAATCTCGTATATTCTGGAAATTTGGCGATAAGTTTATCAATCGCATCTTCGGCGTTGACACTGGAGAAGTCACAGGATGATCCTGCAATAGCAAAACATATTGTCACAAGTTGTTTCAGTGAAAATTAGTGTATGTCACATCTCCCTTTTAACTTGCCCTAATCAAAACATAAGTTATAGAAGTGTAATGTGTTTACATGTATTACAAAAGGTCAACAAATTTTATACCTTGGGGGAATACTACTCGAATGATACGCAATAATAAATTTGAGCTGAATATCTTCAAGTATTTTAGTGCATCATCCTGGTTTTTGAAGCCGATTTCTGTGAAACTAGTGTCTGAAAGCGAAAACCTCAGGTGGCCCATCAAATTGAAAAATGACAGGCATCCCGTATCAGCTTCGTCAGCATGACTAATGCAAACAGTATTCAAAATATGTTTGCGTTATTGTAAGACGCTAACCTGGTGGCACAGGTCACAAATCTTTTTGTCATCATTATGATATCGCTAGGACGGCGCACAAGGACGTCGTCATCCTTGTTTGTTCACAAGTTTGCCACTTACGGGCACAGTGCAATACCAGACGAGGTGCAATGGATCATGCAGGCAGAGATAAACCACAATAACTGCTGAAAACTTTAAGAGAGTTGTGAGGCAGATATTGCTTGATTGCATAAAGAATCTGGACAGTTTGTTTCCGTAGAATTTATTCAACAATTCTTTTTGTTTCAAAATACACATACATGAGCGGACCTTACCTGAGGAGACACTTGCCATTGCGGACGACAGAGCGGTGCAGATGAGTGCGAAGAACAGATAATGAAAATTCATGGTGTGTTTCAAACTGCAAACAAACATACAGAAACAACGCATGATTGAAATGGCATTTCGCTGTACGTCATAACGATGTCATAGGCTTCTTATTTCAAAACAGAAATTAACGTAACATCAACAGCCTCTAGCGAACTTTCCGCAAAAACTTCCAATTAGAAATCACAGACTGATATCGCATACTGGCTCTTGGGAAGGCATATTGCTTCTTCAAAAAGTGTACTGAAAACCACGACGTTTCTCATGGTTATTTCGCGTCTATCCTCTTTCCAAGTATTGATTATTGACTACTTGAGTCAACACAAATTTACTCAGCAATTATTTCTCGTAGCACGGCATCCTCCTCCTCCTGAAGAAGTATTCTCGGCAACCAGCACGTTTGTTGTCACGCTGTCCTCCCGGGGAAAGTGTGCTGATGTAGCAAATGCACGTGCAATAACGCAAACAGTCCTCGTTATTGTCAACAAAAATTGTATTTTCTTCAAAAGTTTGTATAGGACAATTTAGATTACATAAAGTTATAGTTTGAAATATGCACACATCTAGATTTTTAAATGCGGAAATGTACTGGTCTTTAGCGCCATAGCGGGTACCCTCAACTTCCATCTCCACTGATGATCTTGCACATACCTCAGGTACTAGACAATGCATGTAGAACAACGGTTGATAGTCGAAAGACCATGAATGTACTGAATACTTGCAAATAGGAACTTTTTCTGCTTCCTGCTTTTACGGGTAGCTGCGTTGATGTGGGCTGTTCCATATAATTATTACCTAAATAATTATTTTCCAGAAAACGTTAGTTGCTTACTCATCAATTGGTAGTAATTGAATACGAAAATTTATCATGCCAGATACTGAATCACAAAAAATGAGACACAATCTCGAGTTATATAGTACTGGTAATTGTATTACCAAAAAAAAAAGTCCCGGCTTTGATGCAAAGGCGAAGCAATGAACGTAATAACAACAAGTTGGAAGGTCACGCGCAGAATCGCAAGCAAATCAAAACGTGCCCCACGTTTCTCACGTACAAATTACGCACGAAACGTTCTGACAGGTACAGATGAACGCGAATAAGCGTCTCGGATGCTACTTCGCTGTGTCTGAAAAGTGTGCCCTTTTCGCAAATGGAGTCTGTGCAACAGCTATAGTGACCTTTGTGCAACCGGTAATTAAAACGGAATCGTTCCGGCGAAACCCCAAGTCTAGCCAACACGTGCGATCGCCCCACTGCAAGATAAGGGCGCGCCATCGAGCGTAGACCCACTTATTCTCTACGCGTTCTAAAGTACGCGTGAGAGATGAGAGCCACCGAGCGCTTACTGGGCCATTTTGCTAATAATGCTGAAAACACAGTAGTTCGATTCCCCCCCCCCCCCCCACTACGACATGCCTTCACAAAGCAGTAAGTGGTAGATATAAACAGCTTGCCTGTTAAACGTTCATGGAAATACCCCATTGTGGCTCAGTGTTTGAAGCCTCGCATTCACGACGTGGAGGTCTTTCAAGACTTTCTTCCTTCTTGCGTTTTCATATATATAGTTACGTATACATATACTATGCATGACATCGACGCTGTGCGGTCGGGAAAATCCAGCTTAGAGTGTCTATATAATTGTTATCACAATAAAAAAAGAATGAATGGTATGAACAATATTTCTTCAAAAAAGCTCCTTAGTAAGAGACTCTTACCTGATTTTCACCAAGGACTGACCAAGTAGAATATCTTCAGTCTACCGCTGGATCATCGCAGGATCTATGGCTAAAATGAGCGCCAACTCTGAAGCAGCAGCTTGCGATGCCTCGTCTGCAGGCACCTTATATAAGAAAGCTGTTGACGTCGCCGGTTGCTCTTTCAGAGCTGGCATTGTGCGATATCCTTGTAACCTCCAAAGAAGCGTACAGACATGCCCCGTACAACCCCGACGCAGACGTCGGCGGAACGTAAACATTGAGGTGCCTTGAGTCGCTAACAAGATCAGATTGGTGACGCCTCGCGCGTGCTGACGGCCGCCTCGAAATGCCACCTTCTTGGCGAAACGCTGACATCTCGATGGGGTTCGTACGCTCGCTTAAGTCGTTGCATGCGTTGGGCTCAACTGTGTTCGTAATAAACAGTAAGGCAAATGTCCTACAAAAAGGATATATGCATTGCTTTTCTCATGTTGTCATATAGGGTTTGTCCAAATTATTGTTTACGTCTAGAACAAATTTCTACTCATTTAAGTATGTTTGATCTGTTCCCGCCATAATGCCAATGTATTACTGACGTTCCCTATAAGGCGACAAGAGGCAAAACTAGGTGTTACCAATCAAGAAGCACTGATATCAAATTTACTCATTCCAAGAATCTGCGTCAGAGGTAGCCTATCGACTTCATAGCAGCGATTCGAGACCCAAAACACAACTGAGGGATGAATAACTATCACTTTTATTGATTTATATTACTGGTATCTAGCACTATTTCGTATTCAAAACGGCTGGGACTCCCGCCATTTTTAGCGCTGGGAGCACTAGCAGTGGCGCTACCTCGCGGTCACCTCCAGGTCACGCCACAGCTGACCACTTCTTCACAGAAAAGAGTGACGTCAGGCTCAGCTGCTCCGCAAACATTTAGCCTGCTAGGCGGACACATTCAGTCATGCCTTATCACCTGCATTGCTGTCGTTGCCGTACGAAGTGTCGACTCGGGTTCAATAATCATAGTCTGGAGTTGGAATCCACGCGATGGAGACGTCCGAAGTAGTTTAGCTTCGATCGACCTTTTGAGAACAGTGAGTACCAAATGATGGCAAGAAGTCAATCAATGAGCTAGCACTGAGAGGGAAAGTACAGGAATTCAGAGTCTCGCTTCAGAACAGGTACTCGGCTCTTAGTGAGGAAACCAACCTTAGCGTAGATACAATGAATAATAATCTGACTAGTATCATTACGGAGTGTGCAGTGGAAGTTGGAGGCAGGGTAGTTAGACAGGACACTTGCAAGCTTTCAAGGAAACGGAGAATCTCATTAAGAAGCGTCAAATAAGAAAGCCTCAAGTACAACAGACAAAATAGAACTGTCAGAGCTTTCGAAGTTGATTAATAGGCGTAAGGTATGCGATGTAAGAAGGTATACCATGGAGAGAATAAACACGCTCTGAAAAACGGAGGAAGCGTCAAAGCAGTGAAGAGGAAACTTGGGATAGGCAGAAATCGTATGTATGCACTAAGGGACAAAGAAGGCAAAATAACTACCAATATCAATAGGATAGTTAAAACAGCGGAGGAGTTTTACACAGATCTGTACAGTAGCGGGAAAACCACGACCTTAGTACTATAAGAACTAGTAGTAACACAGATGACACCCCACCAGTATTGATGGAAGTCAGAAAAGCTTTGGAGAGCATGCAAAGCGGCAAAGCTGCTAGTGAGGATCAGGTAACATTAGATCTGCTGAAAGATGGAAGACAGATTGCGTTAAAAAAACTAGCCACTCTATTTACGAGGTGTCTCCTGGCGGGAAGAGTACCAGAGTCTTGTAATAACGGTAAGATCATCTTAATACATAAGAAAGGTGATGACAAGGACTTGAAGGATTACAGGCCGATCAGCTTGCTCTCTGTAGTGTACAAGCTATATACAAAGGTAATTGCTAACAGAGTAAAGAAAACATTAGAATTCAATCAACCAAAGGAACAAGCAGGATTTCGAACAGGCTACTGAGTAACTCAGGGGACGAACTGCAATTCATGATTACGGAGTTATACAAAGAGAGCAGAGAAGTGGGTCTTGAAATTAATCTGCAGAAAACGAAAGTAATGTACAACAACCTCGAAAAAAGCAGCACTTTGAGATAGATAATAGCGCACTTCAAGTTGTAAAAGGCTGTGTCTACTTAGGGCAGGTAATAACCGTGGAGCCAAACCACGAGATTGAAGTGACTAGGATGATAAGAATGGGGTGGAGCACATATGGCAAGCACTCTCAAGTTATGGCAGGTAGATTGCCCATAGCCCTCAAGAGGAAGGTATGTAACAGCTGTATCTTGCCGGTACAAAGAGGGTTCAGGTGAAATTGATGACGACGCAGCGACCAACGAAAAGAAAAATGGTAGTTGTAACCTTAAGAGACAAGAAGAGAGTAGAGTGGATTAGAGAACAAACGGGGGTTAAGGATATCATAGTTGAAATCAAGAAGAGGAAATGAACATGGGCCGGGCATGCAGCGCGTAGACAGGATAACCGCTGGTCATTAAGGTTAACTAACTGGATTCCCAGAGAAGGCAAGCTGGTTAGTGGGAGACAGAAGATTAGGTGGGCAGATGAGATTAGGAAGTTAGTGGGTATAAATTGGCCGCAGCAAGCACAGTACCTGGTTAACCGGCGGAACATGGGAGAGGCCTTTGTCCTGCAGTGTACGTAGTCAGGCTGAGGATAATGATTCCGAAATCGACGCCGTTTCAAGAAGCACTGCAGAGGTGCCCAAGGATGCACGCTTCAGCCATGTTCGCTCATTTGTCTCAGTTAGCTATATTGGTGTGTTTTTGGGTGCAAAGCATTCAGGTATACGCAGAGGGGTCAATTCAATATAGCTATCGCCAATGATCATCAGCGGCGAAATAAAATACGTTTCCTGCTTTCCAGGTTCTTTTTGGTGCCTCTAAATGTCCCCACCTATCCAGCCTCTCGCGACTAACACGGTACTACCACTTTTACGTGGCCGCAAATTGTACAGATGAGCTAAAATTCAACAACACCTGCGTGTGACTTTTTAGCTATGATATCTGCCTATACGCTGTTCCACTTTTGACTGCTTGTGGTGGTGTTGATGTGTAACACATACGTGATATGAAAAGAACCACTCATTGCACTTTCCAGTGCTTCAAACTAGAGGACTGCAACTCACCTGTAACAACAATTCCCCAACATGCTGACCGACAAGCACACGTTTAATCACGCTCTGTTCTTTCGCTGTTCTTTTAAAGGTGGTGTATATCTTGATAATCACCAAATATTTCAAACCGGTGCGAGCAAGATCAGACACGACGATCGAGTGCGTTTCTGCGCTTCAGCGCCAGTCGGCGCCACGATAAGAACACTAGGATCGTTCACGTCATCGCTTTTAGGGCATCGTCACTCAGGATGACGTTTGTGGGATTTATCACACCGAACGCGTAGCACTAGTGTCCATGTCACAGGCAGTCTATTTCTCGTTGTTTTTTTTCTTTTTAGCTTTTCTACGCTGTTTGTCATTAAATTAAAATAACTTCCACGGACAGATGCCGTTCAAATTTGGCTAAGAAGATAAGCCTACCAAGTGATCGAATGATGGGCACATCTCGGATCTGAAATGTGATGTCAGTACTCCTTTAACATAACTACACTCTATAGTAGACGTTTATCGCCAATGTACGCCAGTCGTCGTCTGAGCTCACAGTTCTTGTACTTTGACTGACACGCCACATATGTGACAGAAGCGAAATTACTATTTCCCTCCTGTTCAAAGACGTTTACGAATGATTGTCCTACAAAAGCAGCAGCACTTCTACAAGAATACAACGAAAATATAGGTGTGTGTTGATTTAACATCAAAAGCAATATTTTTTTCAGATGACAGTAATTGCAATGAGGGCCCAACCGTCCCAAAACCACCACATTATTATTATGAGAGACGCGTACTGAAGGGTTCAATAAATTTCGATTACCTGGGTTTTTTTTAACTGTGCACTCAAATCTGAGCATGCACGCGGGCCTACAGCATTGCGACTCCATCGAAAATGCAGCCGCCGCAGCCGGGATCGGATCCCGTGACCTGCGGGTCGAGTACCTTCGCAACTAGACCACCGTGGTGGTGTTCCCGGATGACTGTGCGAAGTGTCATTGACGAGAATGTTGCAGGATAACATTCCATCAAGATCAAGAAACGCGTAATTGAACAAAAAACAGTACATGAATACAAAATGATTGGTTGACTTTTCAATACCGTTAGCTTTGCATGCTCATGGCGGAGGCATATTTTCCTTTTAATGAGCAAGGATGATTCGTTGACGAAAACATTGTATTTTATTACCCGATAAATGCGAAAGCGCTAGAAGCTGAGCAGAGAGGAATGGAAAGGGCAAACAGAAAACACCACCCACGCCTCGTGACCTTGAGCACTTTTTTTAGTGGCGAAGCTCCTTATGGCATGGCTTGTGCGTCCCTCGTAGTACGTAACGACCAGTGGCACATACCCGAAATAGCGGTCCTTGCGATTATGACCTACAAGGTGGTTCAGGTGAGAGATTTCTTCTGTGCGTTGTTGAACAATAAAAGATAGTGCGCACATGCACATGTAATGGCTGCTAAGGGGGAATGAGAGACAGGAGCATTCGGCCCTTTAGGTAACGCTCACGCTGCGATCCCTATTAGCAGCTATTGGCATGTACATTGAGCACGTTCTGGGAAGAAAGGATGCTACTTATACTCGCTGGGTGTAACCTCCTTGGTTTAAAAATGTTTAGCGAGCGTTGGGCCCGCATAGCCATGAATACAGTCAACTAATATATACCATGAACTCGAGGTGGTAAAGGTGGGAAAGTAGACCCGAAGTGCAAGCCGTAAGAAAGTGTGCGTGTGCCACATCTCGTTGAGTCCTTGGAATGTCCGCTGGATGGCGGTTCTTCTGTATGGGGAATAAATTAGGAAAATGTGCGAGATGGTGGGTACTTGGAGTGTTGAATAAATGGACGAACGGACACACAGACAGTGCATGATGGACGAATGAACGGAACGCAGGCGCAGATGCAGGGATGGACGCACGAACAGACGCACGCACGGGACGGGTGGATGGACGCATGGACGGTTACACAGACGTACGCAGGAACGGACGGAAGCAAGAACAAATGGACGGACGAATGCTTCGCCGCACTCCCCATCATTCACACCGTG